AAATAATCAGAGAAGCTATTGAAATGTAAAAAAGGCCTAATAATCTTAACCGAAATGAAAGATATTCTATCCCTTCTTCTTGACATCTTCTACTATCTCCAAGATGATCCCCATCTTTTCTCTTTTTGTTATTTTGGAAGTAATTACTTCTTTTTATAATTTTACTTCATTATATTTATATTAAAATTAGTTTCCATTCTGTTTTATTTGCTGAAGATGATGATATAAAATTCAGTAACCAAAATGGTTTCATTTTTTATAAAAAATATAATATGATACGGCACAATATTTTGATTTTCAATCGCTATACGGATACGATAATAAAATAATTTTAAGACCATTATAAATCAATTATATATAGTTCTTTATAGGATCCAACAGATTTCATCATAAATAAGCCCTTATTGAGTCGATACTTTATATCATTATTTTTATCATATTTATAGGGAAAATCTTCAAAATTACGAATTCATATATTTTTACGCTGCATTACTAATAGGGCACGAACACTTACACATCATCCTGTGAAGATATACTTTCTCTGATGAAAACCCGTGATTCCTCTTTCAGATGTCTGGCCGGTCAAAGCATACTATCGGTATCGATCTTTACTAAAGATAAGTTGCACCCCCTCTTCAACCTCGCTCATAGTTATAGAACTCTCGTTCAAAAAGGGCGGCCTTTGCATCATATATTGAAGGTAATTGTAGCACTCCAAATATAAAAACTATGGTTAATTTAGAAATTGGGTATGGGGAAATTTTATAATTTATGGCTTGCGTTTTTTAATTTATGAAGACTTGATTTTACGGGAATGGTATTTCACAGATGTGAATCTACTTTATAAATTTTAAACAATTCTGCTAAGAAATTTTGGGTTAAAAGCAGATAATATTTCAGAAAAATTATTGAAAGTTATACAGTGAAATTGTCATAAGTTCACTATAATTGTAATTAAAAAAAATTGTCAGGGAATTTTTATTTACAACATATAAACAATCTAATATTCACGTTATTATAATAAAATTCTATGGGTAATTTAATTTACAAACAATACAATAAATTGGATGAACCTAAATTTAAAATTTAAAAATATTAAATTGCAAAACTGCTATGAAATCTTTAAAATTAAACTAATTACTTATATTTATTGGAATATAACGACAAAAGTAACCAGTTACTTTTCAAGTTGTAAAACTAGCTCACCTTTTACTTTTAGACACCAATTTTGAAAATAATTTGTTAAAGTTAAATAAAAATTATTAAGCCCTATTTTTCTATGTAAATAAAATATTATATTATGATATTTTTTTTTGTAAATAATACATTGTAGTATATTTTTTCGGTGCAATTATTTTTATATATTTGAATTGTATATCCTTTTTAAGAAATTTAATATATAACTAGTTACTTCTACGTGTTGCCAATTTAGCGTCTCCAAAACTAAAATATATGAAAAAGATATAAGTAGCTATCTTTAATTTCCCTCGAAGTTTTAATACCCATAACATTTTATTTAAACTAAAAGTGGGTTATTTCCCCTATTGCTCAAAATATCTGAAGTATTTATAAAGAAAAATATTTTTTGTAATAATTATTTGTTTGAAAAGGAAACCCTAATAAAAATGTAGATATTATTAATCCTCAAACTGCAAATTTGACGGGGATTCTAAATTTACAAAAACATTTAACTAAATATTGTATATCGATAATTCATCATTAAATTGCATTTAAGGATTTACAAATAAAAATTTTTCTAAACTAAATATTATATATCGATATATAACATCATTAAATTGCTAATTTTATGGAGATTCCAAATATATATATATTTGTTAAATAAAGATTTTAAGCTCTTATCAAGAATATTATTTTTTTTAAATTTTCAATATTTTGGTTTAAGATAGAAAACTTTTTTTATATTTTGGGATATATTACTTAACATATAATTCAATACATAAGCATACCCAGGATTTTCCTATAGGTGGGAAAGTACTAGTATTCGAGGTTTTCTTCCATCAATTTTATTGGAGGTTTTGGGGTTCACTTATTATAGGCCTACTATGTTATATTTTTATAAAATAATATTGGGTTTTCTCCTTTTTTCTAAAAAATTTAAATTATAGTCCTTATTTTAAAGTATTATTAACTTTTGCTTATTTTTTCAATTATTGCTTATAGTGATATATGGTGGGGGGGGGGAGTGTAAGGAAGAAATTTTATTAACAAAATGATATTTTACGAGCACAGGCAAATTTCTCACCCTTTGGTTGCGCCTATTAAGGACTTATAAATGTGTGAATACAATTACGCAAAATAGAGGCTAAAGATTTAAATTAATTGGCATCAATGTTAAATGATCCCTCCTCCCATCCATCTCCAAAGAAATTTAAGTCTAAATTCCACTTAAAAAAATAAAATTTTACTAGGACAAGTCTAAATATTAAAAAACGCACATAAATCATTTAAAATTCAAGGATTACTCGTTCATTATCTGATCTGAATTCCCCCAGTAGATTTAACTCAAATCCCTATTGTCATTAATCAGATCTTTTTTTAGCCATTTAATTTAATTATTATTATAAGCAAATTAAAAAAAAATAAACAGCTAATCTCTAGATTTGTTATTTTATAATCCAATTTGCATATCTTTTACTTGTCATTTAAATTATAAAGGGCAAAATGATAGGCCTTCTTTTTTTCGAACCCAGTACCCGTACCAGCGCTTCATTTGCCGTCGCTTGCAATCGCTTAGGAGCCCATGTTTTAAGCCTCTCAGATCTGTACACTAATTCATCCCTTAGCAAAGGCGAAACTCTCGAAGATACCGTTAAGGTTCTATCTTCTTATGTTGATGCCCTCGTGATAAGGCATTCTGATAAGGGATCAGTGACAAAGTTGCATTCTCACCTGAACAGTGATAGGAGCACTGGTATAGTGGCTATTAATAACATTCATGATTTAATAAATGGAGAGAAGGATTCTCGCGATGGTATCAATAATAATATAGGTAATATTTTATTGGGCTTAATGAATCTTTTGGAGACCATTATTTTTTTTAGTAAGAATGTGGGTAATTGTAATAAAAATTAAAATATTATATCGAAAATAATATTTTGTTTATTCTTCCCCTTTGTTTCATGTATTTTTAATTTCTTTTTAACTCTTAAAACTTATGATATGGGCTATCTAAGCTGAAAGAAACATCGACTCTTCCCAAATAAATAATGCTAAAGCAACCGTAGTCATAAATGCCGGTGATGGGACTGGTCAACATCCAACTCAAGCCCTTTTAGATGTCTTTACGATTAGAGAAGAGATAGGAACGGTTAACGGTTTAACAGTAATAACCTTCTCTATACCCTGATTTTTTTTAACTTTAATTACTAGGTTTCTGAATTTTATATTATTACCCATTCTATCTAAACTGTGTTATTTCCTTAATTAATTTTTTGAAAACACTTATATATAAATAATTTTATTGACCAACGTATTATTTAAATTCCACCCGAAAGATAACATTGTTAGGGGACTTAAAAAACGGACGTACAGTTCATTCATTAGTTCGCCTCTTATCCCTCTACAACGTCAGTCTAAACTACGTATCCCCTCCTTCCCTTAGAATGCCCCAACATGAAATAGAATATATAGCTTCTAAGAATATTCAACAAGTACTAAAATAAATGACTTATTTTTCCCGATTATTCAGTACATTATATTACTCCTATAAAATGATCTCAAATAATACGAATAAAACAACAAATTAAATGTGAACATTTTCAGAATATGCTTTTGTTCAGATTGTAAATTTCATATTTTGTCCTATGCAGCTTTATAATTTTAATAAAATATTTTATAAATTTATTGATATCTTTTTCAGTTCTAATGATTTATATGCTAATATATTAATGTAGCAGGAATATACAGATTTGGAAGCCGTTTTACCTTACACCGATGTTTTGTATGTTACACGCATTCAAAAGGAACGATTTCTGAGTGAAGTAGAATACAAAAAGGTTTCTTATAATCTTTTATGGCTACAAAATTGTAAGGAGCATATAATATTTTAGTTTAGCCCTCATATTCCCCCCTTTGGTGGGTCTACGTTTCTTTTTTATTTGTACTTTGGATGAATTTAGGACCTTATGCTTTACATTTAAATATTAAATTAAAAAGTTAACCTTTATTTTCTTTAAAAATAAATCCCATAGGTTGAAAACAGTTACACTATAACTCCCGAACTCATGAACAAAGCTAAGCCGAACACGATAGTTATGCATCCTCTACCCCGTGTTAATGAAATAAGCCCTTTGTTTGACTCAGACCCAAGAGCCGCTTATTTTAGGCAAGCCGAAAATGGAGTTTACGTTAGGATGGCATTGTTAACCATGATTTTGGGTGGCTTGTGAGAGCTTATTATCGTATTTATATCTGATTTTTTTCCTTATTAAACTAGAAGACACGTGATTTTATCCTCTAAAATATATCAAAATTCTATATAAGATGACTTGCATTATACTTTTTCCCCCATTTATACTCTAATCATTCATGGAATAACCGATATTATAAAAAAAATGAAGATATTATTGTACTTTTCTATGTTAGTAATTTTTCAAATTTTATTTTGTATCATACAGATTTGTGATAATTACTTTTTAACCATGACCATTTTATTTCCAAATCTTAAAAAATTTTTTTTTAATTTGAATCAAGTTTATCAACTTACTACATATTATTATTTACGTTTAGGGCATTTATTTAACATTTAAAAGGACTTTATTTTGCTCAATTTAAAATTACTCAAATATACAATTTTATCAATCATTTATTATATAATAAATCACATTACACATTTACAATATTTTACACTTTTCAATATCAACATTCTATTATTTTATTTTTATATAATAGTAATAATAAATTATAAAATTATCAATGTTATAATAATAGAAGTTTTTTTTGAATGTGGATATGGATTGATTAATATTAATTTCACTTTTCAGGGTTTTTTTTATTTATCTAGTAAATATATGTAAATTATTTAAGCCTGACATTCAAAATATACTCGATATATAATTTATTTTTACATTCTATTAACAATTTTTTGAATAAAAATTTATAAATCACGAAATTAACATAATTCATATGTTATATTTCATCTATAATTTACACTCATTCCTACAGGAGAGAGCGCATTCATTTTTCATAAAATATGAGCAATAGTTTCTTGCAGCTAAATCCTGACAATTTGAATATTTATCCACACAGAACAAATCTAAAAAAAAATGTTCCCGTATATTATATAAAAATTAAATTTATTCACAATTTTAAGTTAAAAAAAAACGTTATTACTTAAAACCCTATAAGTATGACGGCCTGGAGTTATCGTAGCATAATAAATTGGGTTATACAACATGAGTGCAAAATTTGATTAACTTTTGATGAGTGCCTTTTGAGATAGCATTGATTTTTTAAATCCAGCCCATAGAATTTGTTAAATGTTAGAATTTTTATTAATGATTTACATCTGGCCTAATTTTTCAAGTCCAGCCCGAGATTAAATTACAAATTATTTGTCGGCCTGCCCCGATTTTTTTAATAGATATAAAAAAAAAATTTTTAATTGTAAAAATTATATATCTACAAAATGGAAAATATTGGCGCCTTGATTTTTAAATATCAAAATATAAACAATTTATTTCAAATTGAATGATATAATATTTTAAAATATTAGGCCCTGGCCAGATTGCAGATTTTTAATTTCTATAAATTGGTATTTTGGGCTAGAAATAGTTTTAATAATATAAAATAAGATATAATTTACGAAAATAAATTTTTTAATGTTTAAATAATATTTTTTAAATATTTTTTTTACCAACTATAATTACTACCTCTATAAAATTGTTATTAATGGATAAAATTTTAAAATTAATTCCGGTGGGCTCAACTTTTTTTAAAAATTACCTTCTTTTTTAGATATTTTCTATTTCAGGAGACTCTCCAAATTTTTTAGAGGGTTTACTGAATTAATTATATTATATAGATCAATATTTTTTTACAGATATATATATACACATTTTATAATTATTTAGAGGAAAAATAAATTAACGGCCAAGATATTGCGGTATAAAAATTTTAGTCCGCATTCAACCCACAAATGTTTTCGCGTTAATCGGGAAAGGACTTGACAATTTTTTTAATAGTTAAATCTTTCCTTATAAAAGGGGGATTTATAAATTATAACACTTCATTTTGTAAGGGTCATTAAATTTTTTATAATGTGATTTTCAAAAAAAAAGTGTATTACCGCATGATTCGAGTAATTTATTTTTGAAGGGTCCAGACTGGGCACATGTTGCATTTATTAAACACCCATCACAGGTTTGATTTACGGCTTTTCGATATGGAACGTAATAAGGTAGATAGTTACCTCTATCATTATAAATTATTAACTGAATTACATGTTTAATAATTGATATATTTTATATTAATTATATTTTTCTAACCAAAAAAAATTATTTCACCCCCTCCCCTTCTGATTGACTCATAGTAATAGGGTTGGCAACGATTTAAATCTCGATTTTAAACCAAATAAAAATAATTCAAGTTTTAATTAAAGAATTATGGTCTAAGATTGTAAAATATTGATATTTTAAATATCAGTTTAATAGTATCTTGGTAAAGGATTAATGCTCAAGAGAACAAGTCTAGAAATTGTTGAAAAATTAAACAATGATATATGTTTGTAAGTTGATATTTTTTAAAATAAAGAGCCTATAATATATAATATAGTAATTTTTTTAACTATTAATATCGGTGTCGAAAAAAGGTCAGTTGATATTGTTGGCTAAAATAATTTTATTATAGAATTTTCTGATTCAAATAAAATTGTCAAATGAAATTTAATTTTTCCAAGTTAAAATTAGCTATTGCTATTTCTCAGGTTAATAATTGTACGGTTTAAGGCTTATGGGCGTATTTTTCATTAATAAATCTATTTATTTTTCCGTTCAGGTTTTTACTATTATTTTAGAAAATTTTGAAACCAATTTGTACTGTATAAAAAAATAAATAAGTATAAAGGTAATCTATTTTTAAAGTGTTAAATTATACAATTAAATTCTAAAACCAATGTCGACGATATAAATATTACTTGTGATTTTTAATACTTAATTTTACAAAATAATAGATTTTTTTTATTATAGGGAAATAAAAAAAATATGTAAATTTTTTATATTAGTTTCGTTTTACATTTAGAATATTAAATAATTTTTCACTATGGCGATTAGGATCAGCAGTTATTTTTCTAATATGTCAAAAATTGAAATAGAAAATAAAATTTTTTGTCTAACAAGTGGGAATTAATCGTGCAATTTGGTTATTTTATTTAGATTTTGCTTATCTAAGTCCTTATCTTTCACTATTTTGAATTAAATCATAAATTCTTTTAAAAAAAATATCGGGGTGATTTAAATCGGCCAACCCTAATAATAAGTAATTATAAAATTCTGATGAATATATTAAAAATTTCTTTTTGTATTTAAGATGAGATAACTAAATTTGAATATTATAATTTTAATTGAATGACATATTACGGTGGATAGTAGTTGCATGTATAAATTCTTTGACCTCGGCAAGTGCTGCTCCTAGCACATCCGATCTCCTTAGTTGTTCCCCATACCAGCTAAATGTAAATAATGTTATAATTTCAAAAAAAATTTACCATTACGAATACTTTGTTATATAATGTTAATATCAACTTTTAATAGTATAAAATGAGCCTTATAAGTTTCTGAGAGATACGGTTGAGTATAATACATGCATAGACATAGCAATGATTTTGATTAGATGGGGTTTTTACCATCAATTTTATTGGATTTTGAAGAAAGAGAACTGGGTAACACAAAACGTTACTTTAATCATATACCCATAGTTCTTTATTTTAATTTTGCTGAATTTTATAACACAGTTAAAGCTGTGTTGAACATTATGCTTTTGTTTATCTGATTAAAATTTTGCAAATCAATTGTTATAAAAAAAGAACTTATCTTATAATATATATTTTTGTAAAATTTTGATCCATTATCTATGGGAAAATATAAATAGAAAGAAAATTTGTAAGTATTTTATTTTAGATAATGCGTTACTTTTTTGAATAACGAGTAGCGCTTTTTGCATAAGATAAAGAATGTTGGTAACGTTACTTTTTATTTAAGGTAACGATAAAAGTAACGCGTCTATTTTTTGAAGTAACGCTTACAGTAGTAATATATTATTATTTTAATTATTTTTTAAATATTTAATAAATTTAAGATTTTTGTTTGTTTCTTGATTAATATTCTCAATAAATTATATTTCCCTTTTAAAAATATAAATTTAATTTTTATTAATTATAATATAATATCAGGCGCAGATCCAACTTACAAGAAGGGGGGATTTTTCCATTTCAACAAAATAAATACACAAAAATTTTAAATGAAGATAAATTCTAAAAGTTTCAACTAAATATATAATATGACACTAAAGAAAGACGAATATATTTTGGAAATAATTTAATGAAAAATTGGTGAAAGAAATTTACTTTGTTGAATTATTTTGTGAAAGGGGGAGGGGGAAAGAGGATACATACAAAAATACAAGGATTGTAGAGTTTTGAAACAAATTTCAAAAATCGTGTTAAGATATAAAAATGCCAAGAAGAAAAAAATTTTTCAAAAATAACTAAGGTATATAAGAGATTTGTAATAAAATTTTATTGCTCCAAATATGGAAATTTAGAAAAAATCGAAGGGGGATATTGGGGTTACAGTGCAACAGACGGGTTTTTAGCCAGTCTTCCCACTTTCGCTCATACTACTGGCGGGCTGAAAATAAAATATTGGGCGATATTATTTAAGTTTAAATAAAAAATTACATTGAAATAGAATAAATAGTCAACAAACCAAAATAATTTTTAAATAAATGGGCAGGTTTAGAAAAGCCATGGGCAGACGGGCAAGTGAGTTTAATTTTTTGTAATGATGGGCGGTGGGGAACTCGGGTTAAAAACTAGCCTATGACAGACCTCTAGTTATTATCCCCTCCCGGGATCCGCCAATAATTACATATACATGATGGCTTAAATTTTTAATGAATATGTTTAAGATTAACTTAAAAAATATATATTTAAAATAAGAAAATATTTTAACATAATTATAACAGTTTAAAATTAGGGATGGAATAAATCCCAACATACCACTCGTGTTGTATTTGGTTCTATCCTAGTTGCGCAAATATGATATTTATTTAAATAAAGTTAAAGATAATTTTATTAATATTAATTTTTAAAAATTTACTTGAGTATAATGGCCTACACTTAAAAAATTGTCACTATCTTGTCCAAATTTAAACAATGAAACTTCATCATGCCAAGCTTTAATCACGTAAGTCCAATTGAAAGGGTTAGGCGCGTTACTCCAGAATAGATTTTGCCCTCCCCCTTGTGGATAATCTATCAGTGAATGATGAGTTTATTAGAATGAAATATACCAATGCACTCTTAATACAAAAAAAAAACTTGTGATAATTCTGTCGTTGGCTGTATCGTGTTGAAAAATGCATTTGTTGGCCATAATTTCTGCCTTTACTGCTGCTTCCTGATTCCACCTCTTTGATAAAATTTAATATATGGAGTAGGAGTTTAAATAACTATATTATTTTAAATTTAACATTTTATAATATATTTATTAAAATATCAATTTACCAATTTAAACATTGCATTTGAAGGCGGTTGGACGTTGGCTCTATGCCTGTTATGAACATCTAATATTTCCTCGATTTCTGTAGAGTTTGGAGTAAAGCAACTATTGGCTTAGATTTTTGATGCATAATAATTGATTATAAATAGATAATATATTGACTCTTGAGCGATAAGGCGGAAAAAATAAATAACGCGAGTGATTGGATAGAACAGCTCACCCATTTTCAACTGTTTTATATCTCTCACATTAATGAAATTATTTTAAGAGCGTCGAAAATTAAGCAAAATTGATTTAAATACGCCATATTTTTACTAATAAAAGTAATTTAAAACTTTAAAATAATCAAAATATTTATTTAATTAATATAAATTTGTTTTAATATAATAAATGCATTTTTTTTAAAAAAAAAGAAGTTTTGAGCCTCTTCTCCTCTAAAATTTTTTTTAGTTAGTTTTTAAATATCTCGATTTTTAAAACGGCTGGCCCAATATTTTAGCCGAAATATATTTGCTCAAACCTAGAGCTTTAACTTATAGACGGCAGAAATCTCGAGGTCAAGTTTGCCAAAATCTTAATTTAAAATCAGTGAAATCGAGCCTTTTAACAACATTATTTATAGTAACAAATATAAAAACTTTAGGATGCCGCTATGCCCCAGTATATCACTGTAGAGTTAATATTTATAATAATTTGATTTCTTACGATAAACGATGGCGGTAACTATGAATATCCATAAATTAGCTTTGATAATCATTATCATATTATTTATTATTGGTATCTATAAATTAAAAAGTGATTTAGTTTTTTTTAAATAAATTCATACCGACCAAAGCAATCATATATTATAACTTGTTCTCAAAAAATATTTTTATAGTATATTCAAATTGGTTTTTTATTTTGACAGAGAAAATAAGCCTCTAAAAAAATATATTAAATTAAAATCAAAATCTCACTATTAAGTCATTTAAAATGTCTTCCTTTCCTTTTTTTTATGTTAGAAAAACTATTTGATGCTTGCGCACGCAAAAATAAATAACTATTATATTTTGTATTTAAAAAAATAATATTAGACGAATATTGTATGTTTAGATGAGCTACAAATTTTTTATAGCTTAGTAAATAATTTAAAAAAATTAAAATAATTTTAAAGTCTATAATCTATATGAATCGGTAAAGCTAATAATATAATATTAATACTTCCCCCCCCCCTCTTCCTTTCCCCTTAAAATCCGATTTAGAAAAAATATTTATTATCTTTCTATTTTGACCAAAACTTAACCTCCATTGGTCGCCTAATGAACTTTATTGTATTTTAAAAGTATTTATAAATTATAGTGTATAAACTGATTATTAATATAAAATTAGAAATGTTTAACCTTTGTGAAGCTTTTATGCAACTAACAAAAAATTTTCATCCACTTTGAAAAAATAAAAAAATTATTAAATCTTAAAAATGAATATTTAAAAATTTCTTTTAAAAAAAGAAAAAATTTAAAAATAAAAATATGTCATAAATTATCAAATCACATGAGGTTTATTTTTTTTATCAATTCTTTTTTAAAAAATTGAAAGGTAAAGGTATAATAATCGTCATATTTATAAATATAAGAAGAAATTATTTAATTGATGCTCCTCAAACCATCTAAATCAAGAATAAAATGTTTTCTCCATAAATTGAGGAGATTTAATCTATAACTAAAACGCTAAAGCCATGTTCTAGTGTCTTTCTAAACAGTAGTCTGTTTAGTCGTTTATTTAGTTTCCTCGAAACACTTCTAAAAAATTATTTAAATTTAAGTCTTTCCAAGCCCAAAATATTTATTTAATGTGCGCTTAAAATAAACCAAAGTAGGGCGTCCTAGTTTAAAATATTTTTATCATGGGCTACACAGAAATAAGTTTCAAAAAGATGAACCAGGGTATGGTCTTAAAGCTATAATATATTTTAAGACAAACCGGTTATAGAACTATGTTAATTAATCTCCTCACGATTTTACAGGTAAAGTTATTCAATTTTAGATTTTAAATAAAGTTCCTCAAGTGGAGTTAATCAGATTATTTTACTAGCTTAAAGAATATTAGTTATATTTATAAAAATGGAATGGAACATAGGCAGAAGGTGTTCATTTATAAATTGCTTTACATCTAATAATTTTTGTTTATTAACAACACCTATCATTTATAAATTTACATTCAAAATTATTTTACATGTCCAAAAACATTTTAAATAATATATTATGAACTTGACATTTTTCGTGTTACGTTACGATGTACAAAAATAAAATTTTTATAAAGGTTGAAAAAAATAATTAAATAATCAGTAACTATTATATGTGTAAATAAAACTATTTAAAAAATGAGTTTTAAAAAATGAAAACTGAATATAACGGCGGCGATGGCGAAGCAATCGCTTTTTATGATACTAAGAAAAACTGACAGTGGCATCACTAGGGAAGAGAGGAAAAGGTATGTTAGCAAAATCTTTTAGCACACCTGACCACAAAAAAATTGATTTATTAAGCAGGCCCTTGGTATGAGATAAATACACCACTGCTTAAATGTGTAACTATATTACAATCATAAAGCTAATCTTTTAAGTCAATTAATTAACTACGTAACATTGTACCTCACTAAAAACCATCAAAGAAAAGTTTATGACGATCATTTTTACAAGGCCATATCATTATGCCAACATAATATATCAAATTTGATTTATCATCTTTATATTATTATGGGGAATTTTTGTTCAAAATGCGTATATTTTTTTCTAAAAAATTTTTAAATTTACAAAAAAAAATATTTTGTAAGCCATCTATAAACTTTTAAATATTTTATTGATAAATTCAAATCATACGCATATAAATTAAATTCCTAAAAAAAATAATAGATTCTAACTTAGATGAAAATTAAAATACTCCTGTTGAAATTCTGGTAGAGTTAGGATTTTTGCCCTCGATTTATTAGTCGCTCCCCAATTTCGGAAAGTCCTAAATTTAATAACTGCTTTAATTAATAGAGTAAGGTCATGGGGGAAATTTGATTATAAAACTTTTCTTGACCATTTTATTTGATATGGCTTCTCTGGTGCAGTATCTGGTCTAACTTTTATTCTCTATCGTCCTTTATTAAATTCATCAAAAGTAAAACTAAATTGATTAAATATAAAAATTTTCAGGATTAAGAAATATTTAGTAACACTTCAAATATTTTAAATGGGAAAATTTGAAAATGATGGTTTCCGCAATTAAATGGCTTCACGTAGTTTTCAAAAACGCCTCAATGCAGTCTTTAAATGTAGGACTCTCCAAAATTATGGAATGGTTAACATTTGCACAACTTTAATGATTTTATCAGTCAGCCGAAGCATCTAGAACTTCACAAAAGTTAGAACTTTAAGGAAGAAATGAGACTATCAATTTATCATATAATAAAGAAATACTTTGGATGAATTCAAATCGACCTATTTCGGTTTAAACCCAAAAGCTTCTTTTAGGGTAACATCTAACAGCCTTTTGTTTGGCTAGACATCCAACATATCTTATTAAGGCTATAAACTTAACAGACCTTTTCAAGACCTGTTTCTTTAAAAAAAACCTATGTGCGATACTGGCTATAGCGCTGGCTACCGGTCTGGTCACACTAACAAGGCATTAATAACATCTGCCAATAAAAAATGGAAAAGGTATTTAAAATTAAAAAGATACGCGCTTAGCTAGAGATAAACAAGGCCATTTTTCACATTTATAGTCAAAAAGTTAATTGCTAACTTGTCCTACCTTAAAATATATAAGTGACATTTTAAACTCATAAACACGTGATCACTAAAGGTACATTATTCTATTAATATATGACGTTGCTGAAGTAATCAACTCTTTAATTTTCAAAATAGGACACATATAAGTAGCACTTTTAACCTTATGCGCGCGGCTTGGGCCAAAAATTCTAACATTGATATGTTTCGACAATGGCCTGCCATCAAGGGGGCAAGAAAATAGCTTGAAAGCCTTCTTATCATCTGCCTCCCAACGTTCCAGAGACATATCAGCTCAAGTTTCTACCTTAAATTTTAAATTACTCAAATTAAGGAAGGAGCTGAGTTCTTTGATGTTCTTCCCAAAATATAACCCTCAATTAGAAAAAAATCTAAAATTATTTCTAAACAAATCTAACGGAAGTTCAGAAAATTGATGACAATGAGTTAGACACTATTTAATCATCTGCAGAATTGGGAATTGGTAGTTTAGGTTTGGAAGATATAATGATACATGATAAAGTATCTGACGCTAAGACATTAGAACGATAATACACTGCGACTAGTGTACTCTATTCAAATAGGTTTTGATTCACCTCAGCCCTTTATAGATGCATTACGAAGAACAAGACGAGCCAAGATTTATGAGCTACAATAACCAGCCTTGAAATAGATACAAGGACTCACAAAATTTGTAAAAAATATATATAAGTTAAAATTTTAAAACGTAGAGAAAAGATTAAAAATTTATAATAAAAAAATAGAAGATACATTTTAAATATAGATTTTTAAAATTTATATTAAAAAAAGAGAATTTTATTCATGCACGGGATGGCATGCATCTATATCAAATGTAATTTAAAATCCCCAAATTTTCAGCCCTAATTTTTCGCGAAATAAAATATACTTCAGAGTATCCTGACAGAGAAGTCAAATTCTTGCCTATATCCTTATAGAAAAGGGCTGTTACCGTAATTTGCTAACTACTTTTGTATGGTATGGATGTTGTTATTTTTTTTAGCTAAGAGGGCACACCTTCCCATGGGAACAAGTGTTTAGTCATTTTGATCTTTCTATAATAATTAATTCTGGCAATTAAGAGCGCAGAGTAAGTTGCCCTATTATAATGTCTAGGATAATTATTGTTTCTTAAACTGTGGCATAGGTAATGGCCCCTGGAAGTTTTGAGGATGATGTTAGTTTCGTTCAAATGGTGGTGAAGGGGGGGGGATATAGGAAATGTACTGTTAAAAGTTATTAAGTGAAGATACCCTCGATTATAGCTAGTAGTGGGGCTTCAAGCCATTACTTAAAATAGATACTTTCATAAAAATACAACTCTAATTATGGTAAGCAATGAAACAGGTAATCGATGGTAAATCCTATTTTTTGGCAAAGTATGAAAGGAGGAATATAAATTTAGTACTTATGGTGATACCAATTGAGAGGGTTTCGTTTCCTTGGTTTTTGGAAAAAATAGGTCAAATGAGGATATGATTCTATTAGTGTGAAAGTCTTGGTAAACTTCAAAAAAGATATTGTATGAGGAAACCTACATCCAATCCCATTAAATTTATTTAAGCATGTGTTTGTGTCCTGTACCAAGAATTTTGTAAATATAATTTTTGAAACAATGATTGAGATTATATATCGGGAATATTTTATCATCCTAAGCTTTTATTTTAAAACTTAGTTACTATCTAATTTTGTGAGTCATTCCGCTATTTTTGAGAATCATCATCTATTATTTTTTTTTCTGGTTGTTACACTTTAAAAGTTGAAGATTTTAACCTTTTTAATTCTAGGGCAACTAAATGATGGACATAATTTCAACACTCTACGATAGAACTACACTACATTGACACGTAAATCACTCTGATATTAACAATTTTTATTTAAACAAGCGTTCATTTTTTTATATATTACATTATACTTCTGCTTGATCACTTGAATTAGTAAAAATTGAAATGAAACTATTTTAAAAATTAATATTGAATCTCCAAAAATTAAGTAGACACATTTTGAAGAGGCATCTTTTGTACAATGATAAAAATCAAATTTATTGATGATTTTTACAATTAAAATTATATTACAAGAAATTTTTCGATTTCTTCTATTTCTATATTTTGTGTGACAATCCATAATTATTTTTACAAAAGATTAATACCTTTATCTCTATCCACTTTTCAAGGAATGCATAGAAAAATATAAGCTTATATTTTAAGGTTAAATATATAATTCTTGATAACTACGTGCAGAAGAATATCTAGGATCTTGCTTAAAGGAGGATTTAATAAAATATATAGAAATATATATTGCAAATAGAAGATTATCTTTCGTAAATATTTTTAAGCATATACTGTGTCTCACAATGAATATATGGTTTAAATGGGTAGTTTAGTTTATTAACCTTAATTATTTCTCAAATAAATTAATTTACTTGTCCAAAATATGAAATTGCTTTGATTTTACCTAAAACTAAAATTAGATTTCTTGAAAAAGATACTTCCCAAGATTGAAATAATATTTGACATAAAACGCTATTAAATATAAGGCTATATCTCGTGGCACTTTTCATTATAAAAGTTTTTTTTAAGAATCCTGGCCTGGCATATTGTCAACCCTACCTGCCACAACAACATATATATTTTTTAGATGATTCTGTATTTATTTCAAAAACTTTTAAATTTAATTTTTTTTAAAATTCAGAATTAGCAAAATTTTAAATAGTCGCCATGAAGGGACTTCGCCTATGAAGGAGAATTTCTACATATAATATTAATGTCATCTCTTTACAAAATATTTCATCATATTTTATGGATTTTTTTTGGTTTAATTATTAGAACACAGAATCAATTAAGAAGTGGAATTGATGGAGGTTAACTTGGGACTAATGATGGCGTTTTGTTAATAGTTTAAAAATTTTGAGGATGAGTCAGCGATGATAAAAATAAAAATAATGGCATTAGGGATCTAAACCGCATTATTTTTCCGTAACCATATATTATTAGATTAAAAAATGGAATATTTTGTGGGAATCTACAAATTTTAAGCTATGGTGATGAGATTCGATTTTTAAGTCTATTTAATAAGCACAATAATATTACAATAAGAATAATAATTAATTTAATGTTTAGTTTATTTTTTTTTAATTTAATTTTGTCAAATTAATCTGCTGTGTTCTAGAATATCAAACAAAATATAAATTAATGAACCTTTTTTATATTTAACGCAAAAAGTAAAATAAATTTAAAAATATTATATTTATTAATTTTATAAAGATGCTAAATTTTTATTAAATCCTTTCAATTTAAAAGTAACCATTTTAGGGTAAATTTAAAATTCAATAATTTTTTGATTCTATAAACTATTTATCAATCTATCTTATTGCTTGCCAGATATTATAATAATTTGAAGAACTATAAATAACACTTGTAATATTTGTATTTAAAGATAAAGCGATGAATTGACTCTACCCATGAGTTTCGAATCATTACCCCATTCCCCGTCCAATCCCAGTGCTCCTGGTATGGTCTCTTGCTGGGACTCTAAAAATTTGTTCAAGATCATGCCCTACATGTTTCCATCTACCAAGGAGTTAACGTTTCCTTATAAACTTTTCAGGATAGTATGTCATTGCAAGAGCAAAGCCATAGCTTGGAATGGAGATGGTAAAAGTGTACTTATAAACATAAACGATTTTCAAACCGAGTATCTCAACAAGGGTATCTTTCAAACCAAAAGATTGGCCAGTTTCGTGCGTCAACTCAACTTATACGGTTTTAAGAAAGTTAAAGATCAACGGTTCCTGAAGGAGCGAGACGTCAATAGTTATGTTTGGCAATATGAACATAAGTATTTTGTGAAGGATAACCCCAACCTCTTAGTTTATGTTAATCGAACCCATACTCTAAGAACCAGACCTAAAAAACAGTCTAATCAACATCAATCGAATCTTACTTTTCCACCACCTAACGGTATGCAATATGGCAGTTTTGACCCATACAACACTTTACCCTTTGACTCCGTATACGGTGGAAACAATTGTTTTATACCTTTAGATGGCTCAACAACCTTTACAAACCAAATATCTTCGAGAATAAGTGCCAACGAATATAACTACTATAATCAATTAGGACTTCCATGCTCTTCTACCTCATTTCCGTATCCCGAAGATATGGGAATTAGTTTTTCTGATCCCGATTTTAATCTACGAGACGGCTATATGACTGAACAAACTTTCTATCTGCCTAATTTAAAGAAATTAGCCATGAATAATGAAAAGAATATTCAAGCAACCATTATAGACAAAGCTGAGTTATCGGATAAAGCAATAGGAGATAAGTTACCTGAGGGAAATATCGACAAATCAGATTCCATAGATGATATCAATGATTCGAAGGATAAATACATAAAATCAATCGTGATAAAAAATTTGGAAAATAATTTAAAAACCGAAGCGATCGTTCTGTGTGATACTAAAGTTGAAAATGATAACTTCAATCCAGAATTTAGGCCACGGGTATTAATATAAATAATTTCTTGATAAAATTGCATATACATTTCTTTATAATAGAAACGGCGCAGAAGAAAAGAGAAATTGCAGATTGATAAAGAAAATATAAATCTAAAACCACCTGGTCAAAGGCGTGGAAGGAGAAAAAGAAATGAGCTAACAATAGCAATCGAAAAAATTGTGAACGATGAAGCCTCCGAGAATAAATACCCCCCTGACGCATATCTCAAAAGGTATACAATTCAAAATGTCCTTTTAATTATTTTATTTCTAAAGGATCTTTCGTTTTTTAAGAACCAATGAAAATAGAAAATATTGCAATCTTTATTTATTTTGGATTGTTTTTGTAGTAAACATATCATTTTTTTATAAATAATAAGCAACCCCTTATTGTGCGATATATCCTTAACTCAACTCCCGGGTGTCTCTCACTTTAGAAAAAACGCTAGTCCAATGATCCCAGAAATATCAAACATGATTTTGTGGAAAACCAAGAAAGATGGGGTTAGTTTTTTTTAAAAAGGAGATGGTTAAAATATAATTTTAATTTTGTGAAAAAAAATTCACAATTATACATGACTTGTGATTTTATTACTTTACAGAACGTCCCCCAAATAGAGCCCCTAAACATTCAATCTTATTTTACCACGAGCGACGAATGTGCTATTCGCGAAATTAGCAATATCGAAAATGCGGATTCCTTCCGGTTTAATAACGAATATTCTCCATCCCCCCTATCTCGGCAATGGAATTACCTGTATGACAATACCAGTTCTTTGGGTAACAATTATATGATGGATAATATAGAGATGGAGAATAGATCGAGTTATGCCAATCTTGATAGCAATTTTTCGTCCATCAACCCAAATCCCGGTTATAATTTAACGACGGATATGGCCGGATTGGGTGAAGACATATACAACAACCCGCATTCCTTCCTGGAGGTACCTTAAGAAAACAAACTTTAACTCTTTGGGCAATAGTGTCGCCATCCCCCTTATCATTAAGAGGTAAGAAAAGAAAGAGTTTTTACAAAAATTTAGTTGTACTCAATAAAACGTATTTCTTGAATATAAAAGAATTTAGACAAGCTCAAACAAAATTTAAAAGATACCCCTACTGCTCTCAAAAATACACATTTTGTTTAGCATTTTAAGATTAAAGGAAACATCACATTTTTGATTGATGGATTTATTAAGAAAATTTTAAATTGGATTTAATTAAAAATTATTATTTATATTTGATATCTGCAAAGCTTTAAATACTCAATCCCTTCTCTGAAAAAATGCAATGGACTTTAGAATCTAAAGAACACAAGAAAATTATTTAAATATCTATTATTTATTCATGACGATATAATAAAGCATAGTATAAATAAAAATCTTAATATTTTATTTTCCAAATATATCTATATATAAGTGTCGATGCGTCATTAATAAATTATACAATTAAGGTAACAAATTTACCTTATTTCTTATCATAGAGAAAATAGATAATATTTAAAAATGTATGCTCACTCTACAGGCAACGAAGCTGGTAGAGTTGGGTATTTTACCGATCAAATTATCACTTATTGACTGATGCTTTGACCAGTTTTCGGGATGAAACGGGTTTCGAATTAAAAGAAAATTCAAATGTTAAATAAAATATTGTGATTTTACAGTTTCAATGATTAGCAAGACTCTTTCGCCTTCGTTTTAATTAAAATTCTTTTCAAATAATCCTTAAGCGGTGTCCTAGTTTGTCTTATATTTCGAAACAGTCTTCTATTTAGACGTTTATGTAGCTTCCTCTAAACAGCCTAAAAAGAAAGATACTATTTGGATTTATCGTGTATTAACTTTATTTATACCGAATAAATATATAAACAAATCATTATTTAATGTACATATTCGTTCTTTATTTCAAATAGGATGCCCTAGTTCAAAATCTGTTCAGCCTGGGCTAAGCAGAAATAAATTTCGAAGAAATTTTTTAAAAAAATATAATGAAAAATATTTATTAGTATATGTAATAATAATTAATAAATTTTATTTACAATCATTTGGATTTTCTAATCTAATCTAAATAAAATATAAATAGTATATGCTACAATTAATTAGAACTAGCGCAACCAATATGCTCTCTAATTTTAATAATGACATTCAAAATCATACTAATTCATGTTTTACAATTTTTAAAAAAATTTAGATTAGAAATAATGGTTTAAAAAACTCTTTTAAAATTTATTTATTGAGATTTTAAAAGCTCAATTTATAAATTTAAACGATGAAGTTTTCATTTTTTTGTTACTTTTAGTATCATAAAACACATTTACCTACGTAAAAAAAAACTTTTACACAATTAGCTTTATTAGGTTTAAATTTCTATTATAATGTGATGAAACTTAAAAATAAATTGAGTTCCTCTACCCCCCCCCCTCCCACGTACTCCAATTACCCTTATGTTTAGAATCTTATGGGAGAATTATAAAAATACTCAATGCAAGGTAAGATAGTATGAAGGACTCCGAAATAAAATTCTGGATATGGCACCATAAATTTATAAAGAGAAGGAATTATTTCTATGGCGAAAAAATAATCAATTTTTAAAATTAAATGTCTTTTCATTCTACCAATGTGTATAGCAATAATAATATGGTAAATTTTATCCAATAACATTTTAGATTATTTGATTATATTTGACTGGCCGCTAAATATACTTTTGATAAATTATATTAAATATGATTGTCTATGTTAACGTCAATGTGTTATTTTTTCAACTTTAAATCATTTTTAAGGGAATATGATTCTATCAAAAATGTATTTCAGTCTGTATATTATGAATAACAGATAATTTTGCTATTAATTTATAAATTATATAAAAAATATATATTAAAAGCAGGGTTGTATATTTGGTCGGTCAATTGGCCGATATTTGGTTGGCCAAATTCAAATAAATGTTTTAAGTCAATTTTAACTTTATTTTTTTGTATATGTCGTATTGGGATATGGAATCATGTGGGATTCGGAAACCCAACGTGTGGATTCAAGATCATGAATCCCCGCGTTTTATTCAGAATCTTTTTTTTTAAATATTTTTAAAAAAAATATTTAAAAAATATTCCGAATCCCCATGAAAAAAATAAAATAATATACTTTTTCTTCTCTCTTTTCTGCGGCTGGCACCATATAATTAAAAGGCCAAAATAAGGGATTTAAAAAGAGAATTTTAAAAAAGTAAATAGTATAAAATTAAGGCATATAATGAATGAAAAGGGATATGAGGTTAAGACATTTTTGTTTTAAAAAATATTAAAAAATATATTTATAAAAAATCCGAATTAAAAAAAAATTATTTATTGCAACAATTATTCAATGCAATATGGCATTTCGTTGAACATTTAAGGTTGTTCTTGAAACACTCGCAACTTTTATTCATGCTCCCATTTTGCGATTGCATAAGGATGTTTCCCCATAGTTTGTGACATTCCGGGAAGCTCCTAAATATTTTTAGCATTTTAAATGAAAAATTAATATAATTTATGTACATGAATTAATTTGAGGAGTATATATGGTTATTATGAAAATAAAAATTTTTTAAAAAAATATTTAAGGGGATTCGGAATCATTTTTTTAAAAAACAATTAAATAATATTTTTTTGCCGCCTGTGGCACCAGAAAATTATATTTTTTAGAGATATTTATGTATTACTCTTAAGCTTTAAATCATTAAATACTCGAAAAAATGGTTTTAATATAAATTAAATGTAAAAAAATAAATATTATTTTTAAATTAATAATTTAGACAAATTAGAGGAAGAGAATGTGAAAAAATTTATAATATTATCATTATTTAATTGTTTAAATAAAAAAAAAATTTCATTGTTAAAATGGTTAAATTATTAAGAAATGGATCTTTCATGGTATTAATAAGTCTTGGCAGTATATGAGGTAGTAAGAATTTATCATCTCTTATATTATGCCATGCGCAATTATTATAAAGCATTTGTATTTTTTTTGGTTAATATTTTTAGTATACCTACAAAAATACGAATCGAATCGAATAATTTATTATTCGTATTCGTATGAATAATAAAATGATTATTCGATTCGATTCGAAAATTTTATTTACCATAAAAAAGATCTATTATAAAATTTATTTTGTAAAATTTAACTAAGGATAAAGACAAACAAATTTTATTAGTGAGACAAAATAGAAGCATACATATATAATATATTTATATACAATGTGGAAAAATCAATATAATATTCATATCTATAATGTAGAAGATAAATGTGACAACAGCCAATTTTTCAAACATAAAGTTTTTCGGATTGTTTCCTCCTTTAACGACATTCTGTATTTTGTAACCATATGAGCTCCAACAGAAAAGAGTCGCTCACATGGGGTTGAAGATCCCTGTATCGACAATATGTCCCTCGCCATTTTAGATAACACGGGAAAACGGTCTCCATGTAGTTTCTACCATTCTAGTGGGTTTTTATTTGACGTTATTCTCACTTCTTTCAAATATGTGCCAATTTCAGAAATTGGCATAACATTCTGTTTAAAAATGACATCCATATTTGATTGTATTAAAGGTTTACTTTTTGATACATCATATTTAATTTTATATTCATCAAACATTTTCTCAAAATTATTAAATATAGTTGTAACGTATGGTCTATTATGAGATAAATTAAAATGGAGTTTCAAAATTTGGCGCAATTTTCATTATTCCACTAGGAGATTTTATTAAATTGAAATAATTTCAAATAATTCCTAATAATAATATATGATTATTTTCCAATATATATTAATACTATAAATTATTTTAGTCGAATAATCTCAAATAATTCGATCGAATAATAGATAAAAAATTATTCGACGAATAATATATTTTCCTTATTCGAATTCAATTCGAATTTTCGAATCGAATAATTGTGTTATTCGTATTCGTAAAATACGAATCTAATCGAATAACAAATAATTCGTTTTAGGTATAATTTTTAGGCATATTTTAAAATTGGAAAAATAATTTTATGACAAGAAATCAACCTAATTTGCTAAACATCGACCAAATTTATTAAAATGTAATAAGACCCCCATCTATTATTTAATTTAATATGTATACAGAATCACGAGGTCGAGTCCTATATCATAAACCAGAAATAACTTGGTTATGGATGAGTATAGTAAAGCAATAAAAGAATTAAATTTTGTTTTAAAAGTACCCCATTCAAATTTTTAGAAGCAGTTGCTTCGGACCCCCACCGTTGTAGGGGCCACTGGTCCCCGGGTAGGGTTCACTCGTTCCCAAAAAAATTCCAGAAAAAATAACATTTTGAAAAAAGTATTAGATATATATTTTTGAAATTTAAAACTACTATAAAACTAATAGAGCTGAACAGAATGAGATATTTTTTATTAAAAATGATAAAGTACTTTTAATTTTAATAAAGCTTGCTTTTTAGGGGTCGACAAGACCCAGGTCTCCCCTAATGAATGAAAATGGATAAGTTAAGAAGACACTTTTTGTTTTATAAATTTATATAAAATCATAATATTTTTACATGAATATATATTTATAAAAAATTCAAATTAAAAAAAAATTATTTATTGCAACAATTATGCAATGCAATATGGCATTTTGTTGAACATTTAAGATTGTTCTTGAAACACTCGCATCTTTTATTCATGCAACCCATTTTGCAATTGCATAGCAATGTTTTTCCATAGTTTGTGACATTTCGTGAAGTTCCTAAATATTTTTAGCAGTTGAAATAAAGAGTTAATATATTTTATGTACATGAATTAATTTTAGGAGTATATGTGGTTACTATAAAAATAGCTTAAATTACCTATGATTGATATATCTTTATTGGGAACTTCAAAATCATTTAATTTTATAGTTTTATATAGACTAAAGGCAATATTTGAAGATCCCAACAAAGATATATCAATCATAGGAAATTTAAACTATTTTTATAGTAACCACATATACTCCTAAATTCATGTACATAAAATATATTAATTGCCTTTAAAAATTTGATAAATATTCAAGAAAAATACAAGTAATATCTTAAATAGTAACAAACCCAACTTATCTACCTACTATATTAATAAACTAAAGGTTTGATTTCTATATGATCAATTGATAAATTTTTCAAAAAAGTATACAAGCTCATTTTACTATTGAAAATCACCCTGCCCATCCTATCATATAAAATCTTTTAAACATTAAGATTAAATATATACTTACCATCAAATATAACATCATTTATACTATTACTTGATTGAGCAATAAACAAAAAATTCAAAGGATTTTACGAAAATAATTTAAATTTACTTTAAAAAAAGTGCCTCAATGTTTATAATTAAATGTACTACAAAAAAATGGACATGACTAAAATACGCACCCCCCCCCCCCCAAAAAAAAACTACATCAAAGAAGTTTAATTTAAATTATATTATTACTTATTACAGAATCGTTAGCTTCATAAGATGAGTTAAAAAATGTTTTTTTTATTTAAAAAAAAATGGCAACAGTAAAATTTTTAAAAAATTATTTTTTTACATGACTAAACTATGCGCTAGTGTTGTTAAACCCTCTAACTTCAGTCAACTATAAAAACTGCCTATGTTTTTATCCGAAAATATTCGAATCAATCTTCAAGTTGAAGTTCAACTTAATGGCTTAATTTGATTTTTTAAGCTAAAAGATTGACTAAACCACAATAGAGGTGGTCAAAGTTAAGTAATTTAACAACACTACTATGCGCCCCCTATCAAAGAAGCTTAATATAAAAATATAAACGCAGAATCATATATAACTTATTAAAAGGAATCGAAAAATGCTAATACTAAGTTTATAAATTATTTATAACTTATTGAGATTTTGAAAAAACACTTAATTTTTCTTTTTTGACTAAATTTTTTTAAAAATTTTACTATGTTGCCATTTTTTTTAAATAAAAAAAAAACATTTTCTAATTCATCTATGAAGCTAAATACGATTCTTAATATAATTTAAATTAAGCTTCTTTGATAGGGAGCACGTAGTTTTCGGGGGTGCGTATTTTAGTCATGACCCAAAAAAATAAATGCTTTTTGGATTTGTTCTGTAAGATAAAATAAAATTGGATACAAATACAATTATCAGGTGTTTTAGGAATTGATATTATTTGTCATGATAATATTTTTATAAATACTACACCACTAAAAAATTTCCACTTTAATATAAATCATTCATAAAAATAGAAAGATATTTTAAATAATATACTGGAAGATAACTGTAAAAATATAGAAAAAGACATTTTGCAACACTTTAGTTCTTATGGTGATTTTAAAAGTAAAATTGAACCTGGGTGCCAATTTAGTGTAATAAAATAACTATTAACATTTTAAAAACATTGATATTACAAATACAAGAATAAAGTTGGTTCCATTCATGCTTAGTGAACATTTTCAAAGCAACTATATTACTATCATAATATTAATACTAAAAAAGAATATAAATTTTTTTATTACTATATAGTATTTACAGATTATATATAAGTTCTATAATTATTTAATGGAATTAGATGATTTTTGTATAGGTAAATATAATTTAAATTCAGCAGGTAATTCATCTTCTAAATATAAACGATCTGAAAAATATATTCTTCGGATTCGACAATTGGCATGAATCTAAAAAAATATATAAAAAATTAATTTAAAATATTCTTATCATTTATTTAATAAAAGACCCTTTATTATTAATATTTTATAGTTATAGATTCTATATAACATTACTAAGCTATTCAAGCAAATCTGAATTTTGAAAAGGCCATATTCATTTTATAACATAAGTGGTGTCAGAAAATTTATTTACATTATTTTTAAATTTTATTTTTCAAAAAACTTTTTTATTATGTTTAAATTTTCTCATAAAATATTTGTTTTAAAATGATATCATTGATGTTATATATGTTTTAAATAATCACCTGAATCTTTAATGTTTCCACATAATTTGTGCCATAAGCTCGTTTAACAAAATCTGGCAGGTTCATTTGAATAACATTCCACCCATCATCTAATCTTAAGGGCATTGTGCATATATATGATTTAACCCTAGTAGTACTTTGAAAATTACTTGCTCTAAACCTCCTCTTGATATTTTTATCATCTAAGATCTATTTGAATATTATACTACATTATCTTTAAGATAAAAACCTGTATTTCAAAAGTAAAATATTTGTTTAAATTCTTCACAATCAAAACTAAATATGGAAGTTTAATTCCTAAGTTTTTACGAGGATCATTTGGACAAGTAATATAAGTAGTACTATTGTAAATTTATTTTTGTTCATAATAACTTAGATATACCTAACATTGTTTCCAATAATTTCAATTATTAATGATTGTATATCATTATCTGATATTCTTTTTATATGCCCATTTCTTACCTATTAAAAAAAAGTATGTAATTATATTATATAATAAAAAAAAAACTTTTGTATCCCATAATTGAAGAGGCTTACTTCCTAGGCTATATAAAACAGAAAGATATCCACTTTGAAATGTGTTCTTAAACATGAATGAATGAATGGACAAATATTTGTGTTAAAAGAAAAATATTGTTAAAATTTTTCATAAAAGCAACTCACAACAGAATTGGACGTCATAAAAGCAAAGGCGGTCCCAAACCAAGATGAAACTAATGAAAAAGTCGCTCACTTTAGTGCTAAATTTGAAACTACCTTTACCAAGCTCATGATGTTATGGTAAAAATAAATATAGCGGAGCCCGATAATACAAACCCATCCATTATTGTCAATAACCTTTTATCGCCACCCTATTTATCTCCATTAGCATTCATCTATTCACAGCTGTTAATTCATCGATTATCGATATAAGTCAACTTATTTCTTCATCATTGAAAAAGAGATAAAGAGTCTTGATATAATAACCAGAATATGTCAAAACTGATCAAAATCGCCAAATATTTTGCTAGCTCCATTTGTTAAAAAAAAGTCCCCAAAGTTTGTGTCATTCGATGACATTTTGAATTCTCATCCTTAACCCTTCGATACTCTGGTGAAAAAAATGACGTTAGTACTCGGGTGGGGTTTAATAGACCCTAATTTAAAATGTATATTCTTCAGTAATATTCATTATATTCATTTGATATTTGGATATAAGATAGATCTAACCTTAAGCTTGATAAAACATTTAAATATTTTTATTTCTTAAGCCTAAATTAAAGATGATGAGGATAATTATAATTTGTGCCAAAAATTAAAAAAAAAGCCTCTTCTGTTCTCACTTTCCCTTATTCCCAGCGTCTACATGATAAAATTCACTGGATGCAAACCCTTCTCAAAAACCTATACCCCCCCCCCTCTTCTAAAATAGTACATTATCACCTTTTTAATTACTTCAAAAATTTTAAATAGAATAACTTCTATTAATGATGCTCTGCTACCAATAATATACATTGTGTGAATGTAAAAAAATAATTCAATTAAAAGCCCCCTCATTTACAATGAATGTATTATTATACCATTTGGCATGACATAAATTTACTGATAGAATGTCTAACCCCTTTAAATTATTTAAGGGAATATGAAATTATCCAGAAATATTTTTATTTGAAAAACAATATCTATGATTGTGTGCCATATATAGATTTGGTCAATATTTAGAAAAATGACTTGACTAAAAAATACATATTTACTGATATAATTTAACTAGTTTGGAAAAAAAATTTATAAAAATTTTTGTATCTTTTATGGCCAAAACCTTAAAAGAATCTTTTTTTAAACATATAATAATTAATTACTTTATCGTTACATTCCAAAAAAAAAGAGTTAATGTTTCTAATTATATATTTTATAAATAACTCTATTTAACAATTTACTTGTAACTAGTTATTACAACAGCACTAGTAACTCCAAATTGGTAAAAGTATTATTTGCGTTAATAAAATCGTAAATAGTTTGTGTTTTGACATTTTTAAATATTTTATTCCAGTTTAATTCAAACAAAGATGAGTTTTACAGAAAATGCAATAGGAGTATTTGATTGTTGATAAAATATTATTTAGCATTGCTTTATTGATGATTATATTATAAATTTATTATTATGATGATGACGACAATTATAAATAAATCTAATTGAAAATCTGCTTTACATTGTTAATAATTATTATGAAAAATTTTTTATTATTCGTTGTTGTTATTGTCATATATAATAATTTTGTAAATGCCGAACTAGAAGGTAAATATTGATTTAAAAAATTATCATGTATAATAAACCTACTTTTCAGTCATTTTGGAGGAAGGCCCGGATGGAGAAAGTTAATTTATTATTTATTTCATACCAATTCATTCAATTTTCTTAATTTTCATTTGTTACTTCTTTGTTATATAAAATTGGCTTTGTAAAGTTTTAATTAGAAATTGGATAATTAACCAGAGTTTAGAACCGGAAATAGAGCTCTTTGAAATCTAGGAATGGAATCTGGAACCATTTTTTTAAAATATATAGGAACCAGAACGCACTCTGAAATGTAATATAATTAATTTTAAAGGGTTTGTTTATTTATTAAATTTTTGCTTTCATTAGAATTTGAAACATAAATTGGTAACCTTCAGAACCATGTCAAATTTAAAAATAGTATATGCTCAGAACCCACTTTTCAAAATTTTAATAACCGGAAATAGAACTGTTAATTTTTCGTTAATTAACCCTATTTATATATTTTTTTTTCTATTTTTCTTTATTTTTAAAATATCAAACAACTTTTTACTTTTTTATATTTCTTTATTTTTCCTTAATTTTTCTTCAATAAAAATCAATAACATATATATCGTACATAAAAAAAATATAATATGATAATAATTATCGTTTGTTTCTCTTTTCGCGCTTATATATTTGTTTTTTTACAAATTCATCCCGTTTATTTAGTATTTTATTTATCACAAATCAATCAACTTTTTTTTAATATTTATTTATTCACGTATATTACGCTATTATCTTCCTCTCGTGCTAAGCTTAATACTTGCTCCCTTAACAAGAACCATTTTAAAAAAATATTAAGAACCAGAACCATTTTTAGTCCAGGTTCCAAGCTCTAAAATTACAAATTAACATCAAATGAATTTAAACCTTGATTCTTAGTCTCTATAGTTCTATTGACTCAAATTGCAATAATCAACATGTTTATTTTAACCAGTAATTATTTGGTTTTTGTTAGTTCATCCAATATTCGAGAAGTAATATTCCAAGTTTTATATTATGAGGATTTTATTAAATCATAATATAGGACATCATAATTAAATATCTTTTATGAGTCAAAACATTTTAAATTTGTAAGTAGAGTCACTAAAATCATTTTAATATGTAATATTTAAATTACAGGCGCACCGGAGAAGGTCAAAGAATCATCTTTAGAAATACTATGTAAGAATATTAATTACTTTCCTTAGTTTTGTGATATTATTTTTAGTACCACTCAAGATGGGCCCCTTTAAACCCAAACATCCAAGAAAGGGTATAATTCTTTACAAAATAATAATTTAACATAAAAGTATATATTTATCATTCTTCCATTTAAATAATAGAGAGAAGATTTAGATCCTTACCAAAGAGCCAACCTCTAAGTATACCATATTTTACAAAAAAAATTTATTTTATTATATATAATATTTTTTATTAGAACTGAAAGATTCACCCAAACAATTTATGCATGGCAAAGAAGAAAGTATTTAAATCTTATTATTTTAAGATTATATCATTTTTAAAACAAAACAAAAAGAATTCTAGTTTTTATCTAAAAAATAATAATGATACTAGTACGAAACTAATAAATTTCAATTATTTAAAAAAATACCTTTATTCAACCTTTAAGCCTTTTTCCTGTCTTATGGAATACTTCTTGGTAGATATAATCAAAAGAAAATCCCTATGAGATCGTTTATTTGGAACCTTTTTAAATAATATTGATAAATTTGATGTCATTTATTTAATTTTATTAATTCCATGTAATGCCGAAGAATCTACCCATAAAATTATTATTTAAGACAACTATGTGCCATATATTAATTTTATAAATTATTTCGATATTTAAATAATTTTTAAAAAGTTAATCGCTATCATCTCGGAGCTATTTTACTCTTCTCAAAAATTTTACCCTCCCCTCCAAGTTTGATCTCACCCTTTACCAAAAGGTAATATAATCAAAACTATCCTACCCACTTCAATTTCCTACAAATGAGGAAAGAGTCGTCTAATATCCCTTCCATTTTCCTTGAAGAACGCCTTCCCTTCTTCGGAGTAGAACTTACTACTATCATCAGTGTTGCTAAAAGTCACCTTTAAAATTGAAGTGCTAATTGTTAATCCTGATATATGCCGTCGGCTATCCTGTAGCAATTTACTAAAAAGAGCAAATTTTTATAATGTAATAAGACCCTCTTTTTAAATATTACTTACTCCAAATTCGTCTCAGCACGAAAATACCTATTTAGCTTTAGAAAATATCTCTCGTTCCTGGATTAGAACCCATATCAAGTCTATAATAATTAGGCCTACAAAAAAACGAATCGAATCGAATAATTGCGGTATTCGTATTCAATGACTAAACTTTAGATGCTATTATTTTTAATAAAGACTATAAAATTAATAATGTTCGACACTATATATCATCATTACCCTACTTTTTATGCTTACATATATAAAGTTAAAGTGATAATGTTCGCTAATTTCTATAACATTTTTAATAATGGAACCCTTTTTTATATTATCCTAAGTTTTAGCAGCCATCATTTAATTTAAGTTTCGCCCTATTAAACTATTACTTAACGCAACATTAGATTAAAGGGTAATATTTCTGTACCAATATGGGATTGATATTTATATTGCTGAGGCTAGTGGGAGAGACTGAATATCTATGGAATTTTACTCTTATTCAACTTCGATCAAATCCAAAATAATAATCAAAATATCGTCTGTAAATTATTAATAATCAAAATATCATCGGTCAAATAAGAAAGGTTAGAATAAAATGATACTAAATCAGACTAATATCCTCGTTAGAACTAAAATGATACTAAATCAGACTAATATCCTCGATTATATATATTTTTCTATAATATTCGTCAAATCAGAAAAGTTAGAACTAAAATGATACTAACTCTTTATTAAATAAGTTAAAAATATAATCAAACTAAATTAAAAAAAAATTAACATAATAAAAAATTATAATTAAGTTCGTAAAATCATCATCTATCTTTATACAAATATCCTCGAATATATATATACTTTTCTATAATATTCATTTACATAATGTTTTACAAACAAACTGAAAAAAATCTTGAACTTTCTTTAATTTGAATAATCATTCTTTTTTATTCATCTTTCTTTAAATCATTTGCATTCGAAATTTAATTCTTTTTTCTTGGATTTGAATATCTTTCGGCTTCGTAATTTGGTTTAACAATTACAACAATTTCTTGTATATTCAACGTCTACACGACAGAAAATTGGTTGAAAGCAAATTCCCCTGAAAACATATGCCAATCCCTTTAAAAATTGCAGCCTTTGTCCGCAATATTTTTCCAGTCATAAAACCTACATTCTACGGAATCATATTATTTTTCAAGTAACATGATTTGGGAAGAACAAATAGAAAAAAATATTACTTGGAAATAATTAGGTTATTAATAACCATAGTCCAAAAAATAATCCAAGCGTATATGAAGTCAAAGTTTGTAAATTGATATTAGTGAATGGTTTATTTTAGTATTTTCCCCCTAATCTACAAATAATTTTTATTTTACTTTGGCCTATCCCCTTGAATACGTATACCTACCTTACTTTAAAAAATTGGAGAAATTTGGCTCCTATCCACAGCTCATTTTCAGATGCTGTATATCTTTTAAAATGTTCTTGTTATTATTCTTAGAAGAAAAAAAGGCGTCTAAGCGTCTTACTGTCAATTAAATATTTTTTCAAAAAAAAATTCCATTTTTATAAAATGGTAAAACATAAAAATTTTATCAAATAAATTCCAAAACTTACGTATACTATTAATATCTATCTAAAATTTGAATTGGGAAATAAATCACTTGTTCATAGTAAAGACTACAAAAAATTTATTGGAGGCAAACCCCCCTTCAAAAACTTATCACTACAACCCCCCCCCCCCTCCAGCTAAGAGGAATCTTCAACCTATTATATTATAATAAATCGCTAAATTTTCAGGCATCATAATTTAGGATAGGAATAACAAATAAACATTGATTGGTGATATTCAACGACCGTAATCTAAAAATTAGCCTCAAATAAAAGTCAAACTAAGAATAAATGTTATCTGTGAACGAAATATTTTAAATTTAATTTAGCATCAAAATTAAAATGAATGTCTAATAAATAATAAATCATTTCATCCATGATCTTCAAATGTTGTTTATTTGCACATTCTACTATCCCTTTAGATGTTAACCCAACACTGCCTTCAAAAAATTGAAGGCAATGGTTATTATCTCCCTTCCTTTCTCATGTAAACGCTGTATGTGTTATACAAATAAAAGGGCATTTAAATATGCAACTGAGTTCTGTCTATAAATATCGAATTATTTTTAATTTAAATCTATAACCCATTTTCCCTATTCTTACTTACCTTTTTATATTGATACGATATTTTTTAAAAAACCGGAATTTTTAAAGTTGAAGTTGGAAGAGGTCTCATAAAAAATTCTCTCGGGGGTTGTGATATTACGGTGTATCGGCTAAGAATATACCAGAGTGTTTTCGCTTTTGATAAATTAAACAATTAATAAAGTATATTCTCTATTAATCTATTTAAAATATAAAAATTATTCGGAATTAATACAGCTATACTAATAGACGATAAAAAAAAAATTTTGTGCTAACACTTGAAATATTTAAATTTTGGGAATTTATTTTAAAACGTATCGATTTTGACTTAATATCTTTTAACACTCTGCTCTTATATACTAGAACGCTCTAGTATGGGATAAAATCATGATTCTGGAGTTATTGCTGCGGTTTATATATTTTTGTGGTAGTTATTTTAATAATATCGATCCTCGAGGTATAAGTTATTAATCTACCATTGAGAGGGATTCTAATATAAAATAGTAAATTCTTTCCATTCTATGTTTTAGATAATTTATATGCCTTCCTCACACACAAAATCCAGTATATTTGATACCAGAATCCAGTTTTTAAAAATTTGTCCATATTTTGTCATTAATTTTAAGGAAGACATGTATGTATTCAGGGTCATGAATACTTGTATTTTAAATACTAAATACGAATTCGAATAATATTTTTTATTTATTTTAACAATTTAGATTTAGTGTATGTATTTTAAATCACTAAAATGAAAAAGTTTATTTGTTACGATTTGTAATAAATAAAATAATTTTACTTTTTAAAAAAATTATATTGTAAATTATCCACGATTTATCTATAATATTAATTTTGAGCTCCGAATTAGAGGGAAAAAAAATCAGATCTTATATGTAATCCTATTTTGTTAAAATGCGCATCGTCATACTGAAAAGAACGGAGAGAATAAATTTTTTTTAAGATGATTTTATAGAACTAAAAGATATATATTCAAATTTCCCCGAGTTAAAATATTATGATTGATATATTTTTAATAGAGTATCTTGAAAAGCCTGTGCACCCCCTACATGTCATTTAATTTAACAATATTAGACTGAATGAATGATTTGGAATTGTTTCATAAGCTTGCTCTATTATATTAATTAATATGTTGTAATAATAATTCTCTGTCTATGAAATAATTCTAAAATAAAAAATATACCTGAAAATTTTTAAATTCCAAACTAATAGCATTATTTTATGGTTAAAAAAAATTCTTTATAAGTAAAAAGAATTGTTATTTGTACTATGAAAATTTATAAAAAGTATTTGTCAAAATAAGTGTTGTTAAACGGCTCAATTTGAGCCGATTTTTAAAAACGACTAACTCAATACTTTATCTTCGCAAGCCTTAAGATTTTGTTCATAGATGGCATAAAGGTTTGGACAAATATTTGAGAAATCTCGAAGTTTAGGTAATATTTTCTTGGCTAAATATTGAGTTATGCCGTTCGAGGCATTTAACATCACTAGTCAAAATATTTATATTATTTTTTCGAGAATAGGAAAAGAGGGAGAAAATGGATGGAAAATAAAACAAAGGGAAGGAAGTGGAGATTAATATTAAAATAGGATTTATTTATTATAATTATTTCATTTTACGAAATAAAAGGTTTAAAAGCTATCGATCATTTGACTCCCGTTCTAATTGGATTTGGTTCCTCCACAATTTTGTGCACATTTATCGGAATAATAATTTTGTTATTCAATAAATACAAAAGCAATAATCCAACAAGAAATGAGCATGCTTTGATCTCTCCCATTCCAGTTGCTACGACTAGCAATCAATAAATATTTTAATTTGAAAATACATTATCAAAAACTTTATTTTTGCTTATTTTTTTTTGTTTAATGATTTTATCTTTATTATACAAAATGATACATATTTTTAAAAAAATAAATTCTTATAAATATAATAATTTAGTAATTCGGAAAAAAAAATGGAATAATAAAAATCCCAAATAATTTTAACGATTGCAAAAAATCTATATAATAAATGATATTTCGCAAATTGATATTCTGGTGGGTAACCGTGAAAAAATAAAGGTATTATCGAACC